AGAGACACATGTACTTGTATTCGAACATGTGCGTGCATGCGGTGAGAGACTATGTATTCGAACATGTGCGTGCATGCGGTGAGAGACTATGTATTCAAACATGTGCGTGCATGAGGTGAGAGACTATGTACTTGTATTCGAGCATGTGCGTGATGAGTTCCTACTCTGGGGAAGCAAAATAGTTTCAAGGGGAGCAGTTGAGGGGGGTGCTTGAGAGCACTGCTCTAAAGAAAACTATCATTGAAGGAGGTGAATGTTCACAGAGGAGTGACAAATTTGGGGTTTGGATATTGGGTGGCAGGGTAGAAGGCAAGAGGCTATAGATGGTTGTCGACCTTAAGGGAGCACTACTTTGTGAAGACTCATGATTGAGGCCAATGAACGTCCTTGTAAGGAATGTGTGCAGATTAGGGGGTTTCAGCCGGTAGCGAAAGTCAGAGCTATGATAGGGATGAGAAATTATCCATCTTGACATGCGACAGAGAATGGTTATCAAACATTCCAAATCATGCCCAGATATACGAACAATAACATAACAATAATTGTGGGTCACTTTACTGACCCCTTATTTTGTAAAAAACTCAATAAAGTTTCTCATCTGGAAGGATGTTCTTGCAACGTGGCACTCGATTATGACATCTCAACCGAGGGAACCAGAGACCAGAAAGGAGTCATTGGCGCATGTAACACGTTTTTAAGAACTCACTAGTTATTGATGGCATAGGTCTGTGCCGGTTTGTGGATGGCACACCAAGTTTTTTTCGGCCAACAATGGATACGACAGAGTGTCTCTCGAATCTCATACCTCTGAGATTCAGAGCTAAACCAATAGAGGTCTGCGTTGGAACTACAAACTAAGTTTCACCCATCTTATATATGTCTTGACGCTAGACCATTCAACTTAGAAAYAATGTCTAACATACCTTAGATTATACACGAACATGTTGCACAACTACTTCTCTCTTCTTTGGGCATGTGACTATACCATTTGGCTTAGAAACAATGTCAAGTCGCCCTGAATTATTTAGATATCCAAAATTTAATAACTCTATGACTTGTGTTTAAAATATGAGCAGAGGACTAAGTCATTCAGCTTAGAAATAATGTTCAACCTGCCTAGTATATTTTCAATTATATTATCACCTTTATCTTTCTTCTTAGTGATATGACTTAAGTTGAACCATTATGCTTAGAAACAATGTCCATCTGGTTGTTCACATGCACATATAGATAAAGTATTTCCAATTATACTCATGTATGCTTAGTGTGTGACTTCAGGCTAAACCATCCAACTTAGAAACAATGCTTAGCCCTTCACAAAAATCCTCCCTCAAAATAAAACAAGAGACTAAACCATTCACCTTAGAAACAATGTTCAATTTATCCCAAGTCACACAAAACATTAAGTTTGACCATTTAACTCAACTTCAGTCATTAAAAAAAAGAAAAACAGATAGGCCAAACCACTCAGCTTAAGCACAATACTTGACCTCAAAAGTTAGACAGACAAACCCTCAGAAATGAACACAACAACCAGACCATTCAACTTAGGTCCCTTAAAAAACAAGCAAGAAACATAACACTAAGTCATTCAGCTTAACAATGCTCAACCTTTGATCGACCCGGTCAAATGCATGCAGTACCACCCTCCTCTCACCTTCCCGCATTTCATCTCTTAGTCTGATTTCAGCCAAAATAACATGAAAATTGAAACTTACACATGCATTCATTTTAATTGATATGACAAAGTTCTGAAAAAAAATAAAAATCATAGAGGAATGCATGTGTAACTCTCAAATAAACTAGAGAGATGTAATGGTGCGGGTACAATGGGTTCACATAGGGCTAAAAAAAAATATGCCTAACAGTTCCCTGCCTCAAGAACCTCGCATAGATTCCAGCAAAGCTCCCGCAATTTGTGGCTTTTGACACGAATTACGGGTTGCAACCCCGCCTGCTGCCTTCCTCTCTGAACCAATAGACAAGACTAGGAGTGAGAATGAAAGAATGAGAGACATTTACTAGTCACTCAGATACAAGGAGGATGCACTCAGACTCGAGTGAGAGGGCTTTGAAACCTTCAGTCGCCCGAGGGCCCCACAATGGTGGTAAAAAACGCAGTGTGATGACCAATTCACGATCAAAATACCTAGAGATGACATGCATAGTCTCCTTCTTGGAGAGTCTGCGTACTTCCTCACAGCACAATGCCTCCACCTCTAACCAAAACGTCGTTGCACAGCCTAAAAATGTGGGCATCTGAATAGAGCACACTGATACCTCTTATAGCCTGGTATGCAGCAAAATAAACATGGCGTACCCAGCAAGTCGTGCACAGGCTAACAAAGCTTAATAGGAAAGCCTAGCAGTGAAGCCTTACAAAACGCAGCAGAACTCAACAATGTCTGTTGATGCACGGCGCAACTTCGTTTACAAGCGCAACAAAACTGCATGTGCGCGCTACAGTCGTGTGCAACATGGTGCACAACAAGGTGCACTGCAAAGTAACAAATCCCGATGGAAACGCAGTGTTACGTAGCAGAAAGT